TTAGCCTCCCGAGTAGCTGGGACTATAAGCGTGTGCCACCACGCCCAGCTAATTTTTTCTATTTTTTGTAGGAACGGGGTCTCGCTTTTGCTCAGGCTGATCTTGAACTCCTGACCTCAAGCGATCCTCTCCCTCCGGCCTCCCAGAGTGCTAGGATTACAGGCGTGAGCCACTGCGCCTGGCCTAGCTGTGATATCTTAGTTGCCTAGGAATTTGGGGGATTTAGGGTTCAAAGACCACTGTCCAGTTACTCTGCTTCACTTGGTTCAGCTGGCTGGTTCATCCTTAGCCCTCCCCATGTCTGGTTCCTCTCACCCATTCCCACTAGGTGGATCAGTTGAGGACAGAGCTCATGCAGGAGAGGTCTGCTCGGCAGGACCTGGAATGTGACAAAATCTCCTTGGAGAGACAGGTGAGGGGGAGAGTGGGGAGTCTTGGGGATAGAGCCCAAGGGTAGAATGACCAAGTGGAGTACTAACCATGGATGCTCCCTGTCCCTTTCAGAATAAGGACTTGAAGACCCGGTTGGCCAGCTCAGAAGGCTTCCAGAAGCCCAATGCCAGCCTCTCTCAGCTTGAGTCCCAGAATCAGCTGTTGCAGGACCGGCTACAGGCTGAAGAGAGGTGACATGAGTCTGTCCTCCCTCCTTCCTTTCCTCCCTTCCTCCCTCCCTCTGGGCTTTTCTCCTCTGGGGCTCCCTCTATCTTCCACCTCAGATATGGCCAACCTAGCCTGATCTTTAGGGGGCCATTTTCTCCTCATAAAGAGCAGAGAGCGTTGCAGAAATTCTGAAATAGGATGACCTCAATCTCCTTGGTTCTTTGGATCTGCACTGGATCCTCCCAGTCTGATGGTGGGCTCATGACGGAGAGAAGTCCTTGGAGGCAGTAGAGGGCTAAGTTATGGTTCTCTCAGAAATGGCAACACCCAGAGACAGGCTTCTACCTCATCCTCAGGGAGAAGACAGTTCTGCAGTCCACCAACCGAAAACTGGAGCGGAGAGTTAAAGAGCTGTCCATCCAGATTGATGATGAGCGGCAGCATGTCAATGACCAGAAAGACCAGGTAAGGACATGGCACCCTAGGGCCAAGCAACCGTGGGGCAAGTATGTAGTATGTGTTTGCTTAAAGGCCAAGGGAGGCCCCTCTTCCATAGGTCTTCCAAACTTGGACTTTTCTTATATTAAATATAAAGACAGGGAGATTAAATTGAAAAGACTAGAGCAGTCATTGCAAGCATATGTATTGAGTGCTTATGTGCTATAATAGGTTCTCTGTCTAAGTGTTCTATGTGTATTAATCCATTGAATCCCCAAGACAACCCTGAGAGGTTAGGGGACTTGCCCATGGTCACATTTTTCTAGGGAAATTATCTGTTGTCAAGATTGTTACAGGAGAGGGTCCCAGGCCATGGTAGCAGATACTTTCCTAATGGGACTTGGTATCCTGTCCAGCTGAGCCTGAGGGTGAAGGCTTTGAAGCGGCAGGTGGATGAAGCAGAAGAGGAAATCGAGCGACTGGACGGCCTGAGGAAGAAGGCCCAGCGTGAGCTGGAGGAACAGCACGAGGTCAATGAACAGCTCCAGGCCCGGATCAAATCCCTGGAGAAGGACTCCTGGTATGCCTATAGGGACAGTAGAGCTAGAAGGGAATGGTCTCCGCTGAGCTGGCTAAGGAGGAGAATCTCTAAGATGGGACTGTGTAGTCACTTATTCCTGACTGGAAGCCAGTATGATTATTTCTTAATATCTCAACCACCATCCTCCCCCCAAATCTCGGATTAGTAGGGGATCTTGTCAGTAACTTTAGGCCTTAGAAAAATTGGAATTTAGCATGAAAAGGGTGGCTGTCTCAATCTTTCTATTCCTCCTCCCTTATCCGTATTCTTCTCTCTGACTTAGGCGCAAAGCTTCCCGCTCAGCTGCTGAGTCAACCCTCAAACATGAAGGGCTGAGCTCAGATGAGGAATTTGACAGTGTCTACGATCCCGCGTCCATCGCATCACTGCTTACAGAGAGCAACCTGCAGACCAGCTCCTGTTAGCCCGTGGTTCTCAAAAGCCTAGAAACTGGGCCTATCCCAGCCAGCCCTGCTCTGCCCTGCCCACCTTGGATTCCTCATGCCTGTGGGTGACCCAGTTATTCAGACCTAAGACAGGGAGGGGTCTGAGTCATGTTGATACAAAAAGCATCAGCAATAAGCTGATAGATGGACTTTCCCTTTCCATTGGAGGAGTGGATATTTTAGGCCAACCAAGCCCTTCCCTCAAGTGCCGACGCCTCCCTCATCCCTCTCATAGTGAAGGACGGTCAGCATATAGGCTGAGGAGAACTGAGCAGGATAGGAAGGGATAGGAATTGCCATGTGTATAAAGCTTTATTTCTTTAGCCCTTAACCCTAAGGCTCAGGGAAATACCTTATGCTGTTCTGCTCCCGGGATTCCTGCAGCCCATTTTCCTCCCACCCTGGGGCAGGGTGAGGGGAACGTTATGGGTAATGGACACGCAGGCGTGGCTCTACCCACTTCTCAGATGCTCCTGTTTGCACAGTCATGGGGCCCATGTGGTAGTCCCCATAGCCTTCCAGTTCCTGTATTTTTGTCTTCTCTAAGCAAGCGGGTCCAAGGGATCCTTTATGCTCTCTGCTTCCCATCTTCACCATTCCTACCTTGCTTGTTTCTTCTCAGTGCCTTAGCCAGGGTGAGGAGATGAGGATGCTCTTCTTGCCTTTTTTATCTGCACATTCATACCTCTCCAAAGACCAGCCTTTCCCCAACCGGGGCTCTCAGCCTTCCCTGCTGCCCCAGTGACTGGTCAAGAGAGCTGCTCGCTGGCTTCTCTACCAATGAACCCTGTGGGAGAGGGACTTTGGTAGGGCATGATAAGGTGGTGGGGGCCTGGTTCTGCTCAGGGTTTTCATCCTTCCTCCTCTCCTTCCTCTTGACTACAGATGTGGTTCTAAGGTGGTTGCACCTGGGAACTTTGACAACTGTCTACAGGTTCTCAAAGCAAAAGTCTCAGTCCCTCTGGCCCTCCTTGTGACTTTTCTGACTAGATGTGTCCAATTTCAATAGAGAACCAAGGAACCCTCATTTTTTCAGGAGCTTGGCTCTGATTCAGGGCTTTGCCTGGGGCTAGAAGCTGACTGTTGGTAGAATTGGGAAGAGGCAATGGAAGATTTATTCCTTTGGATTTTGGGGAGAGCCAAGCCCTGGTGGGGAAGAGGTATAGGGGATGATTCACCTCTCTTATTTCCTAAGCAGGTTCTATAGGGAGCTTGTGGGAAGAGGAAGGGTCTTCTCACCAATGACTTGTAATTTCATGATTTAAAAACAAAATTCCCAATTCCAGCACTCTGGGAGGCTGAGGTGGGCGGATTGTTTGAGCTCAGGAGTTCGAGACTAGCCTGAGCAAGAGCAAGACCCCGTCTCTACTAAAAATAGAAAGAAATTAATCGGACAACTAAAAATATATAGAAAAAATTAGCCGGGCATGGTGGTGCATGCCTGTAGTCCCAGCTACTCGGGAGGCTGAGGCAGAAGGATCGCTTGAGCCCAGGAGTTTGAGGTTGCTGTGAGCTAGGCTGATGCCACAGCACTCTAGCCCGGGCAAAAAGAGTGAGACTGTGTCTCAAAAAAAAAAAAATTTCCACATTCTTCTGCAAATCAGACATTCTCTCCCAATCCAATCCAGCCTTGGTTTTATTATAAATTAAATATTAAAATTATACATCTATATTGAAATCCTTGGCTTGTCTTCTCATTCTTTTTCCTGGCTCATTTGGAGATTCAAGTTTTATGAAAATGTCATATTAACTGTATAGCTTAAAGGCTGAAGCTGGAGCTTTCTTTACCTCACTTTTCAGAGGCCCTTTACAACAGATCAGATGTGACCTAGAAAACCTGGAAATGTTTATAGCAGTTCCATTCTCTCCTGAACAACCTTTTGGGAAGAACAAGGCCAGTAAATGCCTTCTTTGAAAGTTAGAGGGAAACAGACCAGAACTGGTTTTATTCCTGTGGGTCACAGGAATAACCCCACCATTCATCTCCCAGGTACAAAGATCCCCATCCATTTCTAACTCACATGGGACCCTGTCCCTACCTGGAAGGTAAGGAAATTTCTGCCTTCCCTGGCCTTGTGTTTCCTTAAACACAAGATGTTTCCTTCACCAGAGCCTATTGCTAGGTATAGGGATACTGCCCATTTGAAACTAGGTCAGACCTTACCTATTCTGCCTTCTGTCCAGTTGGACCATAGCCATCTGCTCAGGGCAGCTGAGCTGGGAGGAGGCTCTGGGGTCCTGTTGGCCAACCCTCTCTTCTCGGCCCTCAAGATCCTGGCCAAGGCTTGGGGAGCAAATGCCATTGGAGAAGTGGAGGCTCAACCTCTCTCAAGAATACAAATTCCTTTTAAGGCAATGTGTCCCGCCTCTCCCAACCATATAAGGGCACCTTTAGTGTAATAGTTTCTGCAAAACAAGCCCCACCCAGAGCCTAGCTGACTTTGACTTTGCCCTGGGCATCTTGCCAGGGAAGGGCACCTGCCAGACTGGCTTAGGCCAGTATGAGTGAGCTGGCTCTTGGTGCCTGCTTTTCTGCGTTGGAGGAAAGGTTTACTCAGCTCTGCAAATCCTATAGGCTGGCGTATATATAGAGGAGAAAGTATGGAAACTTTTGCACGTTCCAAATCCTCATCCTCTAGGGGCAGACAGGGTGATTCCCTCTGACCAACACTCATCTTGGAGAACTGAATGAAGACTAACGAAGAATGTTGAGGTGCAACTATTGGCAATTAAGCAGATCTAAGTCGCTCCCAAGCCCCACCTTTATGTAAATCTGAGCCAGCACGGATGGGGCGTGTCTCAAAGCCTCTTGGCCCCACCTACCTCGCGCTGTCTCCTCTTGTCGTTGGCGAAACAGCGCCCTAGGGGCGTGGCCCACCTGCAGCCCCCGCCCTTGACGCGCCTATACAGGGGGCGGTTCCGCGCGCGCCCGCCTAGTAGGCGCCGGACCGCAGGGCAGAAGGGCTAGGTTGTGTGCCTGGAGCCCAGCGGGAAAGAAATGAACGGGACACGGAATTGGTGTACCCTGGTGGACGTGCACCCGGAGGGCCAGGCCGAGGTAAGAAAAAGCGTCCACACCGCCTTCCCCCTTGGTATGCTCCGTCTCTAAGTCCGTCCCCCCCGTGCCCCGCGTCGAGTTCGCTGACATCACCTGGTGCCCGGCTCCGTGCGGTCAGCCCTTCTCTCTCTTTTCTACTGCTGGAGACGGACAGTGGGTGTCCCGGGGAGTCACAGGATGAAGACTCTTGAGGCTCGAGGGCTCGGGGCGTCCCTGCCCTTCGGGAGGGAGGACACTGCGGCTCCTGCCTGGGACTCGGCGCCTGCGAGCCCTTGCTTGGGCCGCGGGTCTCTGAGCGCGTTACTCAGGCGTCCTGTGGGCTTCTAGATCGGGTCGTAAGAGAATGAGCTCGAGACTGGATCCCTGAGCTCCGCTGGACATTGTGTCCCGCTGAGGCGGATTAGGCTTTCCCGTGGGTCCTGGTGACCTTATAGGGCATTCGAATAATTTCGTGGTGCTTCGGGTGATCAATAACAAGAAAAAGGGTAGAGGGTGAAATCCTAGGGCTTGGATTGGAGGGTGGGGGATGGGTAGGGCAAGGATGGCGAGATTGGCCTGGGACTCACCGTTTGCTAAGAAGGATATGGCTTTCCGCCTGAGGGTCACCTCTCGTCTCGGACTTCTCCTTCCCTCTTACAGTTCTCCTTCTCCCCTCCCCCTATCGGCCAACCGATAGCTTCCTGGGACGGTTTGTTGGTTTTGCTTCCGTCTCCAGCCGCCAAGCCCTGGGCACAGTGGATAAAGGGGATGTAGAACCTGGGCTGAGACTCGAATGGAAGTGACCCATGCGAGGGCTTCTGGACCGGCATGAGGTTTGGGGAGAGAGGGGGCGTCTTCCAGTGCAAGCTGTTCTGTCCTGCTTCCCTCACTCCCTGCCTCCCCATCCCTGTTCTCCCCACCCCAGCTCACCATATGATTTTTCCTCTCCAGAGGCAGAGGAGGGTAATTTGTGGCTGAGTGTTTCTAGCTCTGCTGGGGAACATAACCCACATAGGAGTGTACTATTTCATGGATTTCCAGGCTATTGTGGGTGAGTGAAATGGGAGCCAAGGTGACGGGGAGTTTGTATCACCCCCACCTCCCACCCCTTCTGATTCCCTTACCCTCTGCCGGTCTCAGCACGCCCCTGAGGTAGAGCTAACCCAGCTGCAGCTGGATTATGGCTCTTCTTCAAAGAATATTTGTAGAATAGGTACTTGTTTCAAATTTAAAGTACAAATGGGATTTTAATTCTGCTCATAGTCCTCTCTTCATTTCTGCCCATGCTATGAGTGTTTCTGCCACATTATAATCCAGGTCTTGCTGCTGCCCAACACTAGTCGCCCAACCCCCAGCCATCTGTAGCCTGCCACTCTCCCACCTATGGAACCATGAAGAGATGGAAAAAATCCATCCCTTACTGTGTCAGCCCCAAGTCCTACTTTCTCTCTCTTTCTTTCTTTCTTTTTTTTTTCTTTCAAGATGAGGGTCTTACTATGTTTCTCAGGCTGGAGTGCAGTGGCTGTTTACAGACGCGATCATAGTGCACTACAGCCTCAAACTCCTGGGCTCAAGCCATCCTTCTGCCTCAGCCTCCTGAGTAGCTTGGACTATAGGCATGTGCCACTGCCGGCTTCCTACTCCATGTTCTTGCTCACCGTTTTGGAATGGTTGGGGGAAAATGGTATGAGATAAATAAAGGAGAAGGATGTTCGTTTTGCTTGCTGTAGCAAAGAGATCCAAAGAGAAGTCTAAGACCAGGCATGGGCAGTGTTGAGAAGGAATCGCCACCTTCTGCTATTTCTTGATGTTTTGGCTGCTTGTCTGGTGGCGCAGAAAGAGTCAGTAGGAAAATAGTGAGCAAGGAATTCGAATAGTTTCCAGCTATAGATTAGTTTGAAGCTAACCAGAGACCTCTAGAGCAAGCGGGAGACAGGAATTCCCTTTGCTTCCTTTTTTTTCTAGGCCAAACTTGCGACTTATTTTACTCCAAAGCTTGAAATGAAGTAATCATTGCCCCAATCTAATCTTTGAGACATTCCTGGGCCCTCAAATAGGGGGAGGAGATGGTAAACAATCAATCAGTCAGGAGACAGGCTTTGTCCCAGATTCCTCTCCACTGAGCCAGCCTGCAGACAGAATTTATGGCTCTGGACTGTCCCCAGGAACCTGTCATATATTCACACACTGAAGAGTGCTCAGTGCATGTGCAAAATGAGTGAGTGAATAAATACACGAACAGATGTTTCTTCTGGAATCAGCTAGACAGTTGCACTGATTGCATATCATAGTGGGAGTCAGGAACCTTGGGTTTTGTTTTCCCACCAGCCAGGCCCTGTGCCTTAGTGCAGCACATATGGACATGGAAATACAGCAAATACACTCTCTGGGTTTTTTAAATTTTCTGTTTTACATCCTTTTTTAGAGACAGGGTCTCTGTTGTCTAGGCTGTAGTGGTAGCTTGCTGCAGCCTCGAACTCAAGCAATTCTCCCGCCTCAGCCTCGGCGGATAGCTGGGACTACCGGCGTCTACCATCACACCCGGTTAATTTTTTTATTTTTTGTAGAGACAAGATCTCGCTATGTTGCCTAGGCTGGTCTGAAAGCCCTGGCGGGTCTTTTCTATTGTTGGAGGCAGATGGAGCAGGTATAAGGAGCCAGTGTTTTTCAAAACTGCAGACTGTAACCATTAGTGGGTCTGAAATCAACTTACTGAGTGGGACCCAGCATAAACAAAGGAGTAAAATTAACACTCTCACAGCATTAATGAGGGTAGATATTTGTGGCAACACTTTTGTTTCAGTTATATGTGTGTGTGTGCGTGTACATATTATATGTGTGTGTTTACTTGATGGTGATGTAAAATATATTTCTGAGTTTGAAAAAATTTGCAAGCCACTATTGTAATTTATACTGGCAAATAAAAGAACAAATAAATATCACACTCATTTTTATTAGACATTTCCATTAATTTCCTTTGGTTATAAACTCCAGCTAACTTAAGCAGAAGAATATTTTATTAGAAGGAAATGGGGCAGCTTGCAGAATTTAAGGGAAAGCTTAAAAAGACCTAACTAGGAACTAATGGAGGCTTTCTATTGCCTGGTGAATTGGTTCTAGCTGTTTTAGGTCTTTTTGCCATTCTGCTCAAGATTCCAGGGAGAGGGTGCCATTGCCCCTTGGCCCCGACTTGGCCAGGGCAGAGTTCCTTGATTGACAGGCCCACCCGATTACCGGTCAAGGAAGAAGATTCTCCAAACAAGACCCAAGTGTTCCCAGTGGAGGGGAATGGAAACTGTGTGGCAAAAGAACAGATATCCGTGACGTTAGACTTTGGCGTGGATGATCTCTTGATTCCTTCCTTCCACTTTCTTTCTTTCTTCTTAAATCACTTTTTAATCAAAGGATTAAATATGCATAATTTAAAACAATTTTTTAATATGGCCATATTAATCTTCTCTTTATCATTCCAATTTTAGTATATGAGCTGCTGAAGTCAGCACGTATGTGCATGATTTTAAATAGATCTGATAATATCAAAAGGCTTTTAAAAGAAAATGGTCCCCTACTCCAAGTTCTGCTCCATGGAAGTAACCACTCTCAACCCTTTTAGCTGTTTTTTCCGGTGTTTACCTCCACGTTTCTAAATAATATGTTCATAGTGATATTTCTTGATTTATCAGTTTCAGACATCTGTTGGCTTCCTATTCTAGGAATTATAGGAAGATTTATACTCCCACCTCTTACATGCTCCCCTCCCATTCTCTCAGTGCAACTGTATGTCAGTTTTTGGCTAAACTATGATTTCTGCTAATAGTATTGTGGTTAAGAGCATGGCTCTGAGAATCTGACTAAGGTGGGCTCTAGTCAGGGCTTTGATGTTTGCTTTGTCCAGGATCACTTTGGTAAATTACTGAATTTCTTCATTCTCAGTCTCCTCATCTGTAAAACATGAATAATAATTGCACCCTTCTCATAAGGTTGTTGTGAGGATTAAATGAGATAATACGCATGACACATTAAATATTGTGCCTAGCACGTGGTAAGTGCTCAGATGTTAGCTATTGTTTTCTATTTGCTCTTGGCTTAGACTAGACAATTTTAACCTCTGAGCACCCAGCCAAGGGATGGGTGAAGAATATGGAAACTCTCTGGTTTGATCAAGGTTTGCTGCTTCTCATTAGGCTGACATTTGTTTATTCCTACCTGTTTCTTTCCCTTTCCTTGATGATCCAGGTCCCTGTGCCAGTGGGGGACCCAAGAGTGAGAGGGGGCCTATACATAGACACAGGGCAAAGACCTGAGTGACCTTTGCTAGTCCTCACTCAGCCAGGACTGGTCTCAGATAGGGTGATGGCCAGGGTTCATTTTTGGCATCCCTCTCTGGGCACCTTTCCTCCTCTCTCTTTTTCTAACTTCATGGCGAAGCAGCTGGTGTCCTCTGCTGCTCTAGGCTCTTTGATAAGGTGATTTTCTTTAAGTAATCTATCAGTGTTACTCTTCCTTAGAATAGTTGCTTTTTTCCCATCCTCTCTATTGTTATTTATTTATTTATTTTTGGATTTGTCTTGGCCAGAGAGTTTCCCTAAACAGCTGAGTGGATTTGGAATTTCTTTATCAGCCGCAGTCTGAACCCTTGTCTTTATGTGGAATAGGTAATATTCCTTTAGGACCTTAGAAGCTGAAGTAGTTTAATACCAAGTCTTTCCTGAGCCCCATTCTTTTTTGTTTGTTTGTTTAAACTAAAGCTATGATTTATTAAAGACTTACCATGAGGTTCACATAATTTTTATAACAGCTTTATTGAGATATAATTCATATACCGTAAGATTCACCCATTTAAAGTATATAATTCAGTGGTTTTTAGTATAGCCATGGAGTTGTACAGTCATCAGTAAATCAATTTTGGAACATTTTCATCATCTTATAAAGAAATCCCGGCCCATTAGCAGTCACTCAGTTCCCCCCAATCTCTCTAGCCCTAGGCAACCACTAGTCTACTTTCTTTTTCTATGGATTTA